ACGCTGCACTCTTGGGCCATCCAAAGCCTAATAGTGTGTTGAAGTCTTTAGTCAGTTTTTGCTGTACATTATTTTTTTTCTCACTTTTTCAAATTTTCCGGGGGGGGGGGGACGATCCCCTCCTACAAAAATCGAGGGGGACGTGTCCCCCCCCCCCCCCCCTCGGATCGCCGCCCCTGGACACTATTGAGTGAGTGACTGGCTTTTTTTCCTTCTTTTGTAATTACATCTATAAAATGAGCTGTAAAGGGTACATGAGCATTTGTCTACATCAATATCCCACTTCTTGTAATGGCCAAAATTAAACTGATTGAATTTTTGCGCATCATAAAACGTACGACCATTCGGTTCAATGGTCTGAAAATCCGACTATTACTTACTGGCTCTATAGCTCTTAAGTAGATTCGACAACTAAAAGTCGTTATTCACCAACTTATAGACATTTTTAAGCCCCCCCCCCCTTTTTTTTTTTTTTAGGGAAGTTCTAAATTAGTATTATCTTTCAAATGCCGTTGAAATCTAACCTTTTCATTTGTTTGGCCTGCAATTTTGCCTCAATAATATAATGATGATAATATCACATTTATATTAAAAGCTCCTTTTCATTAGATACAAAGCGCGTAAACAAGATATACTTACAAACAAACAAAAGGAGAGAAAATCATTTGAAGCTTACATTAATTACAAACAGAAAGGAATATAATAACAAATTAGAAGAGATTTGGTTCTAGACACTTCTTCTGTATTATAGTATATGAATTTAGGTCTGTATCTGTGGCAATCGCATGGTTTAATTTGTATATACTTATTATTAGAAAAAGTTTAATCAAAAAAAGTTTGTAGCCGCTTGGTACAATTTCTTTAAATTCATGTATAATGTCCTCAAATTGGCAGTATAGCACATTTATTAAACCTAGTATGAGAGAAAGTCAAGAAAGGGGCAATTATCTAGACAGTTTTGAAGTGATTTTTCTTCCATGTTTTACAATTCTTCAGGGTTGGCCTTTTTTAAAACTGAAATATATATATTTTTCATGACGGAAATAATGCATGTACAAACCTCAAAGCTGAATATTACCATGGACATTATTTATAAAATGACATACGTTGCAATCCATGTACAATTATGTACATATTCAATATTGTGTAGTGGAAAAATGTGGATTTATATTTCTAAAGATATTTTTTTTAACTGTCTATTTTCTTGTGTAATGATGTAGTGTGAAATCTTCATTTGCTTCATCTTTCTTTCTGTCTCTATCTCTAGGTCTCTTTCTCTCTCTCTCTCTCCCTCTCTTTCAATCTTGGTTTATCAATTTTTCTCCACTTGACCTCTCTCTCGTCCTTGCTCCCTTCTCTAAACTCTTGAAACTACTTAGAAAAAATACTTGTAAGGCTACAACACCTTTCCAGAGAATGATTGACACGCTTAAAAATATATACTGGTACTAAGTTTGCTGAAACCAGCATCAAAGTATATGTATATAGTGATATTGTTAGCTCTTGTAAGAAGCTTTCTCTATTGGTAATTCATTTACATGATGATGATGATGGTGTTTCCCTTGAATTACTCCAATGAAGATCAGTTAGCCCTATACAGTGCGACCAAGAAAAGAAGAAACCGAGAAGTATCGATGTTTTATCATAACTTAATCACAATTATGATTAATAAATGACACATATTTGTAAAGCTTAGATCCTCCTCATGAGTGATTAAAAGCAATTTGAAGGAAGGAAACCAAAAAGTCATTTGGCGGGCGGTATCTGAATTTCGAAGAAAAATTCACATTTCTAGAAAGTTCAGTTTCTGCCCTTTCATATGACACCTCAATCAGGTGATGCTTGCATTACCATAAGTTGATTTTAAAAGTTCGTTTTTATTGGCTGCCTGCCGTAGCAACAAGCAGAATTGACAAAAGACTTTACTCCTTTTCATTGACAATCATCCATGCATGAAGTCTTTCGTCTACGAAACGGAGTTAAGTCTTTGGTCAATTCTGTTGTTGCTACGGCAGGCAGCCAGTGAAAACGAATTCGTTTAATCAAATTATGGAAATGCAAGCATCACTTTAAACAAACACAACATTGTTATTCCTGGATCATGTTACCTGATTGAGGTATCATATGAAAGAGCAGAAAATGAAATTTCTAGAAATGTGAATGATATCAAATTCAAAGGATCTTATTAGAAATTTAATATTAGTTTATGTAAAGATGAAAAGTTCATCGTGTTAAAGAAAACCGCAATCATTAAACTGAACGAGATTTTTTTTTAAATGAAAATATACAATTTTATCAGAAAATATTCGAAAGAAAAAGCAAAGCTCAGGAAGGAAAAAAATGGGAATCTAGAAATAGAAATAGTCTCCCTCGAAGATGATGTCTTGAAAGCAATAGATAATAAGAACATTGAATCTTTAGAACTGAAACGTAGAAAATAAAAGCATGCTATGATTATATTAATGAAGGACTTACAATTCGTTCTAGAGCATCGTACTATGAAAGAGGAGAAACTTTACCCAGTTTAATGGAATCAAATAAGAGAAAAACAGTAATCAGAAAACTAATGATGAATGAAGAGAAAATAAGTTTTGATCAGAGAGATATAATTCAAGATATACACAATTTTTATAGCAAACTTTATGCGCATTCCACGGTAGATTCTAATTCTAGTGATGCTTTTTTTGGTACAGATCTACCCAAACTAATTCCAGACTCTAAGGATATTTGTGAAGGGAAGTTACAGAGAGGGAATGTATGGCAGTTGTGAAAGAAATGAAATTAATAAAACACCAGGTAACAATTGGTTAAGTGTTGAGTTTTATTCATTATTTTGGCCAGTAATAGGAGACGTAGTGGCCGATGCTTTTAATGAATCCTTTTGTGAGGGGGAACTCTCCCATTCACAAAAACAGGCAGTAATTACTTTAATTCATAAAGAAGGCAAAGACCCGTTAAAAATTAAAAACTACAGACCCATTTTCTTACTTAATGTGGACTACAAGATTTTAACCGAAGTTCTGTCTACAAGATTTAAACAAGTATGACCAGAAGTTATTTGGATTGATCTGGTGGGATATCTTAAGGGCAGAAATATAGGTGAGGCAATTCGGTTAATTGACGACATGATCTTTCATGCAACTCATAATAAAATACCTGCTTATTTTTAAGCAATATATTTTGAGAAGGCGTTTGACTCGGTTTCACAAATGTTTTTACAAAAGGTCTTAGTAGCCTTGGTTTTGGACCGTCATTTTGTAAATGGGTGAAAATAATTTATAAAAAGGCTCAGAGTTGTGTTTTCAATGGAGACTTATCAACTGGATATTTTTATATTCAGAAATGTGTGGGACAAGGTGATCCTTTGTCTGCCTATTTATTTTTACTTTGCATTGAGATTGTTGCTCGCGCGATTCGCAGCGACTCTGCTATTCATGGGGTTCCCTTTGATGATATTCACGTTAAACAAATTCTTTATGCAGATGACCTGTCGCTGTTTGTTCAAGCTCTAGCTCAAGATGGTGGTCTCCTGCATTTTTAAAATTTTAGAATGATTTGTCAAATATCTTTTTGTTTTTAAAGATATAATTACATGTATTTAATGGATTTATATTAGGATATGATTATACTGTATACATGTATATGTATTTTAACTTTTGTTAGTAAGAATTGTATACATGTACATGAACCTAGTTTGTATTTTATTTCTAATTATGTTGAAAAATGCCTCAATAAAATCAAACAAACAAACACTTATTTTTTTGTTTTAATTCAAGAAAGTTCCTTCCTGTGAAAATTGCTGTCGTTGACATTTATGAAAGTTTCTATTGTCACAAGTTTCTGGTTCTTGGGGTAAATTTGGCAATATGAATTTTCTGATGATGTGACCATGGCCCATATTGTACAATGATGATAAACCGGTGTTACATGTATGTGTTCGTTTCACTTGATATTTGCCTCTGAGACAATTGCTCAAGTGAAGATGTGTAAATTGAAGATGTTTATGTTTTTATCGTTAATTTGAGGTGAACTGAGCATTTTTTTTAGACATTTAATTAATGACTGGAATGTTATCATACTAACCGGTATGGTAAATGGATTATTACTCTTGGATATTAATGTGAGATTCAAGTTTTTCAGAGTTATCACTTATTTATACCACGGACCTAGCCACTTCATATTTTACTCTATTGTGCCCCAACATTCTAAAAAGGATTGACGCACCTGACTCCAAGTAGTCACAACTTCTCTATACCAATCAGGGATTACAAGATTTAGACCCTTAAGGTCATTAATGAACATAATTTTAAAAATCAGCAAAGCGAGATGAATTATACTTTTCACCCACACGATTGAGATGTGAACATTCTATTTATCCACTTCATTTGTTGGAATTGTTGGAGAGACTCTAAACATAGCATTTTTAGTCTCCCGTCTTTATAAGATTTGGCCATTAATTCCAGTTTAATCCTGTCTTGGCCTTTCCAAATGAACCAACAAACTAACTTATTTACTACATTATTGTACCATTTAGGTATTTTTGACATGATTGCAAGGTATAATAATTGTGAGAAATCAAAGTTTTGGCAATTTGTACTTTACCTATTAAAGATGGGTTTCGAAGTCTCAATGAATTCAGTTGCCCTTTTATTTTGTAAGAATATTATCTAATTGTAAAGTAACGGCATAACGGGAGTAAGATATCTTATTCTTGCAGTCATGCTATATACCAATATATCTAATAAAGTAAACTCATGAATGAACAAGTTTGATTTGTCTAATTATGTTTTCGACGCTTTATAATTGGGCCAAAATGTAAGCATCCAAAAGAGTCTGAGGAATGAGGGCGTAGGTTTCAGAATTAGAAGCGCTGTCATTTATATCAGGTTTCTTTCAATCAATTTCAAAGTTGAACCATAAAACAGTTTTGTTATGAATGAACAGTTATATGAACTTTAACCCATTCGCTGTGGCCAAAGAGTTAACTCCTTGGTCTGACTCTAAAAGTCATGAGGGAAGCCATGTGAATGTACGCATGAGTTTGACCACCAATTCTTTATGCTTGGATTCGTCTCTCCTTTTCTGTGTTTGCCGTCAAACGAGTCGTTTTCGTACTTTCTTATCTTCGCTACTATCTTACACAGAAACGGTGGGGACAAAACACCTTCTCGACGTAACGTCATCGGGATTGTTCCATACCGCTTCCATTCGAAATATGAATTGTACAAGGTATCGTTAGAATTCAACAGATTGAGATAGTCGACAAGATCAACCATAGAGTTAAAATCTTGAAGATGTATGAAAGACTTTGGAGGTGCAACTTGAAGGTAGTCTTCCTTTGGGGCGCCGTAGACGATGGGCACAACGTCATGCTGTAAAGAATTTTCCCAAAACTTTTCTGTGATGTAGTCCCTGCACTCGCTGTTTTCCAACGCCAGGTAAAACTTGTAGGTACGGATACGATTCCAACAATCATCAGAACTTCTATTACATATGAGCTTCCCACATGTGCCGTAAATGTCCACTGGGATAAGCCGTGAGAGTTCTTTGACAAATCCAAAACGGTCCCATGAAGACAGGTGGCAATTTGATGCCATCCAGACCACCATACCCGTTTTCTCCTTTGCCCAGTCTCGAGCATCATCTGGGATGACTTGTGGTTGGTTGCTGTCATAGACGCCATAGGGAATGGATATGGATGACGACGGTCTGTACGTCATGGTGTAGTTGTATACGTAATCATATACATTTGGTGGTATTGCATTTACCCCCGTGTGTCGAGGACTCTCTCGGGTAAAGAAAACCCAAACTTGCTTGGATGGGCGTCTTCTTTGCATCTCATCCCAATTCCAACTCGATAAATGAAACAGTACCACCGCATCACTCCTCATCATTGTTTCGAAGCTGGTATCTTTAACAAAACGAATACCACAATCTAATCCTGGACACTCAAAATCTTGTGGCTTTTGGGGCTTCTTGCTTCCACTCCTGATTTGAACTTGACGGAAACAAGAGGGCGGCTTGGTTTTGGGGTGTGGCGAAGAATGCCCTATCGTCATGTTTGCTGTTCCCCGCTTCTCCTCCAACTTTCTGGACGCATGGAAAGCCATTCGTGGGGCAGGAAAAGGAGAGACATTTTGGAGACGGATGTCGTAGTTTGGATCGTAAGATATTACAATAGCCAAACATGATACTATTGCCAGCCCAACCGAAATGACGATCTTGTTCCTCGAGTTTATTTTCATCGTTTTAAAGTAGCGAGTGAACTTGTGAATGATTTAGAGATAATGTAACCAATCCAAATCCTCGTACCGCTGTATAAAGTTGTGCTGGTGCATATTGGAGAAGCAGTCTGATCGCAAACGGGGCGTCGCTAGTCTAGTTCTGGACCCTTTTTGCCGACTATATGCGTTAAGCCGAGTAGTGGCGCGATCCCGAGAACCGGTACCTCCGGAAAAGCTCAACGCTGACGTCATTCGAATATTTCAACGAATAACAAATAGTTATCGAGCACCTCTATATTGTTTCATTGAATCTTTATTAATAAATAAGCTAAATCAATTTGAACTAAGATTCTCTGAGGAGTTTATCCGAGTCCGAGGCTATCATGCGTCGATCTACGGAAGGTAAATATATGGCAATTGCTGTAGTGTAGGATTTTTTGGGGGGTGGCGGGGAGGGGGGGGGGGAGGTCTAGTGTCCAAACACTCGTTTGCCTTTGGATTTAACAAAATATATTTTATCAAATGGCACCGACAATCATGAACATTTGTGCTTTATGATATTGTGAAACATAACTCTCAAACGATTTGTGAAATAGAACTTGTGACTTCTTCAAAATTAAATTAATTCAAATGGCGAAGCGTATATCCCCGCATTGACAGAGCATAATAGTCCCTACAGTAGAAGCCGATATTACCCGATTAATGAAATGCGAATTAACCGGGGGACGGGTTAACGTCATCAAGTTAATTGAGCACCAATACACTCTGAAGGCTCATTTTAAATAGCGGTCAACGTTATTAACTACTTAGTCATTAAAATATGCCCCCTCTTTTTATAAAGCCCATTTCTACCAATCAGATGAACTGTTACAAAGAAAAATGATTGAGGAAAGGGAGCTTTCAGAAGAATGGTTTGTGCATACGTAATGATCGATACACGAATTACTCCTTTGTACAATGAAGGAGTGCTGTCATTCATACAACGTTGCATTAACAATGAATTATTTTTCCAATCAATTTCAAAGTCGAACCGTAAAACAGTTTTGATATTAATGACAATCGACTGATTACTTTTTACAGGATGCCCATTTTGAGTGTAAATACAGTCATGTACTAGAGAGAGAACTTTTTTTTTGGTTTGATACACCAGATATTGGAGAATGCAGAAAAGATGAAATTTGCCTCAACGATATTGACTACAGATTATTCGAAAGCCTTTGATAGAATAAATCACAACGTTTTAGTTCAACAACTCCTAAATCTCGATGTTAGACCATGCCTTATTAACTGGATAATGAGCTTTTAGGATAATCGATTGCAGTGTGTCAAATATAATGTAAAAAATCAAACTGGAATGTCACAAATATACTGGAGTTCCACAAGGAAACAAACTTGGACCTTTGTTATTTTTTATACTAATGAATGATGCATGCCAAGTTTCCATTATTGACTTACTTGACTTAAGCCGTCCACACCATCACTGGGATGTATGATGGCTTCTGTTTCTCTGTGGCTTGCCACACCTTCCTGTCTTCTGTTAGCCTAGTGGCTTTAGTCAGGGAGTCAACTTGTCTGTTTTTGCAGTCCGCCTTGATGCAGTCTGTCCCTCTCTTAGCTGGTCTTCCCCTTGGGCGTTTGTCATGTACATTTCCGTTGAGAAGGATGTGGGGGTATCTTTTTTAATTCATTCTGTTGATATGTCCAAAGTATCTCAGTCTTTTTGTGGCAGCCCTGTCGATGATGGTTTCTTCCATATTCAGTTGTGTTCGTATGTGTGTGTTCCTTAGCCTGTCAAATCTGGTCACACCCATGATTCTCTTGAGGCATGCCATCTCAAAAGTGTGAAGTCTATTTTCATCGACCTTCTTAAATGTCCATGTTTCTGCACCATATAACAGAATAGACAACACCAGGACTTTGTACAGTTCTACCTTTGTTGAGCAGCGTATATCTTTTGATGCCCAGATTTTCTTGAGTGCTTGGAATGTTCCTATTGCCTTCCCAATGCGGTGCTTTACTCGCAGGATCCTGTCTGGCTTATTGTTCCTCCCAGGTACGTGAACTTATTTACTTGTTTTAGCTGTTCTCTTTCAACGTTTATTATGCAATTGTTGAGGCTGTTTGCTTATGGCTTGTACTTCTGTTTTGGTAATGTGTATTTTCAGTCCACAGTTTAAGCTGATCTGATGTACTAGGTCAACTATTGTTTGGAGGTCTCTGTCATTGTCAGCTATAAGGACAATGTCATCAGCAAATCTTAGGTTGTTGATCAGCTGTCCCTGTACTCTTACGCCGATCTTGGTGTCATGTATTGCGTAAAGCATCACAGCTTCGAGTAAGATGTTAAAAAGTTGTGGGGACAGGGCACATCCTTGGCGTACCCCAACTGTGGTTTTAAGCAAGTTGGTCCGTTCACCATTCACTCTGACTGCACTGTTTGATTGTTGGTAGAGTGCTTAAGGTAGGTGTATGTATTTTGATGAATATCCAAAGAAGTTCATTGCTTTCCACAGCCCTTCCTGCCAGACTGAGTCAAATGCCTTTTCATAATCGATGAAGCAGCATAGGAGATTTTGATTTTCTTTCAAGGCGCTTTTCCATTATTTGTCTGAGGGTGAACAATTGATCCATAGTGGAATGTCCTGGTCGGAATCCAGCTTGTGCTTCGGACAGCACTTCTTCTGTTTTCTTCATGATCCTTTGCTGGAGGATGATACTGAACACTTTCCCTACATGGCTTAGCAGGCTAATACCCTTGTAGTTTCCACAGTTGAGTTTGTCTTTTTTCTTGTAGATTGGTGTTATTATAGCTTTTCCCCGGTCAGCCGGAAAAGATTCTTCCCGCCATATTTTGTTGGACAATTTGTGGAGCATGGTGATTCCTGTTGACCCAGCAGCTTTGAGTTCCTCTCCTGTGATGCTGTCAAATCCTTTCTCTTCTGCGAGTTTCCGGACAGCGAATTCTACTTTATCTCGCAGAATGTCTGGAACCGGGTCGAGGCTGGCCATGTGATGTATGTTAGTACAGTAGCTTCTGCATTTGTTTGGTTCTGGTGATTGTACATGTACAGTTCCTCAAAGCTTTCTTTCCATCTCTCTTTAACATCTTTCATCTCGGCAAGGATTTCTCCATCTTTGCTTTTCACTGCCTGTATTCTGATGTTAGATTTCTTAGTGATTTGTTTAATTGTTGTGTAGACTGCCTTGGATTTGGTAGCCTGACGTGAGGTTTCCACTTTTTTGCATAGATCTTGTATCCATTTGTCTTTGCGTCAGCCTTTTGTTTTCCTTCGTTTTTCTCTGTTAACGAAGTTGTATCTCGGTCTTTGTTTGGGTCTCTTTTTTGTCTTGTTTCGCTTCCTTTCTCTCATCATTCAGTCGGAGGACTTCCTCACTTATCCAGGGTTCTTGTTGTTTGGATTTTTAAAATCCCAATACTTTCTGTGAGGTTTCATTAAAGGCTGTTTTTACTTCTTCCACATCTGTGTCATCTTCCCCCAGCAGAGGGCCAAACTTTCCTCCTATTTCAATTTCATAATCTGTCCTGGTTTTGGGGGTCTTTGAGTCTAAAGACATCATACCGCTTCAGGTACTGCGGCCTAGGTTTTGCTTTGAGCTTGAGACGTAGGTTGGTTATAATGGTCTGATCCTACATTAGCACTTGGAAAGCTTCTTGCATTACTAATTGAGTTTTTCCAATTTTTGTTGATCATAATAAAATCAATTTTATTATGGGTGTTTTGGTCTGGTGATTCCCACGTCGATGGCGGCTTCCTTTGCTTTGTTTGTATAGCGAGTTAGTGATGATCAGGTCGTTTGCTGCACAGAAATTAAGAAGCTTTTCTCCCCTGGGATTGGCCTCCCCAAGTCCATATTGACCTATAACCTGGTTTCATCGCTTTGAGTCTGATCCTACCTTCGCATTAAGGTCGCCCATTACTATAAGAATGTCTTTTCTTGGAGCTTTCTCTATCGTTGCTTGTAGTAGGTTGTAAAATTCCTCAATTTCCTCTTCACTGTTGGCTGTGTTTGGAGTGTAGACCTGTATTATGGTCAATGATCCTGTCTGTACTTTAAATCTTGCTGAGATAATTCTTGGTGACATGGGGTTGTAGCCAAGAAGTGCATTTTGGGCGGTTTTGTTAAGAATCAATGCAACTCCTTCTCTTTTAATTTTATATTTCCCCGAGCATAGGATTATGTGTCCATCATGGGTGAAGTCTCCCATGTCTGTCCAGTGGGTTTCTGCAATGCCGATGATTTCCCAACGAAATCCTTTTAGTTGATGTAGCAGTATGTCTAAGCTTCCAGCTTGGAGCAGTGTACGCACATTCCATGTGCCAATTCCAAACTGTTTTTTGTTGTTAGTATTTTTATTTATCTATTTATTTTGTTTTATTTACCCAGGAGAACCCCATCAGTGAGTGAAACACTGTTATACTCGGCGCCCTGCAATAGTACAACACAAATAACAAACATGTAAATGAATTCAAAACAACAAATATTACAAAGACATCAGACCTGCACGAAATATCAAATTTTTAAGAAAATAAAAAAATAAAAAATAAACTACAAGGCTCCCACAATGTCTCTGCTTGCCGGAACCAACTGGACAGCAAGGTCCGAGGCACTACCTCCAAACCCTAGTGGTGCTTTCCTTGTCGGTGGTTCATCAGTAGCAACTCCCCCGTTAGGCTTTCGAGCTGTTGTGTCATTATTCACTGCTTGTTGCAGGACCACGGGCTGAGTTGGCAGGTTAGTAGAGGCAATGGATTTAACCCTGGTGCTGTTTGTGTGTACTTCCATTGTAAAAACATTTTCGCTCATGTTGTAAGCTAGGCCCATAGGAAAGAAATGAGCCTGCCGCATACTCCTGCGGCAGACTT